ATGTCCCAGTCCCTCCCTTACTGTGGGGGTGTTGATCTGCCCCCTCCACCCACCAGAACAGACTTACCAGCTGGAGGCAGCTGCATCCGTCGTCCTCGAGGACTGCTGCCTGTGTAGTCTATGGCCATATCTCCAAATCGGCGCTGAATCTTTGGATCCGAATTGGCAGAACTGAATCGGGACAGTGATTTGAATCACTGAACTGAATTGCTGTCCATCTGAATTGGCTGAATCCAATTCTGAATCAAATACTTGCCAGTTCACACAGGCCTAGTCTAGAGTGCCCCAGAAGCAACTTCTTTAGTTCAGATCAATAGCCTCATTCAAAAAACTAAACTTGAAATTAGGTGGGATTTAGGTGTAGGTATTTAAAGGTTACTGTAGCTTTTATTGTATTCTGCTGAAGCTTTTTATTCCCTAGAGGAGGTGCAGTGAACAATGTAGAATGGAAGACAGTGAAGCAGCAGGGCATATGATCTCAACTGCTATACCGAGTGGGATGACTCAACAGTGCATAACTCATCAGCAAAATGACTTCATTGCTTGGAAGGAGGGTGGCATCCCATGCACATTCCACTTGCAGCAGCGCAGGCACTTAAAACAAAAAAATGCTGGGTGCATTAGCTCTGCGTCTCATGGCAAGGAGGCCGTGACTAGTGCCTTGGTAACTGATCTCCCCTCAGCAGACACTATTCCTTGAATACATAACAGCTTAGACCCAAAGCATATTTTTAAGAAGGAATACTTCATAAACAGTACTTTTATGACTTATTTCAGTCTTGTTCAGACTTCCCCTGCAGTGTTTATCCACAACTACAATGCTGTTAAAGGGTTAGGCATCTTTAAAAAAAGTAAATGAGAGAGAGAGATGTGAAAGTTATAATAGCAGGTACCAGTTAACACATACATTTCCTGACAGGAGGATTAAACTGAAGAATTATTTTCAGTTTGATTCCACAACACTATCAAATAGTAAGTTTCTTCTTGAATGACTTTCACATGGCAGCAGGGGAAAAAGTAATGAAGGGATTGCCATACTAAGTCAGAGCAACCATCTGTGTAGTCATCAATTGTAACCAGCACCAGACACTACTGAGGATGGTGGAAATATCTTGTCCTAAGCTTTTATGAGGGAAACGCCACCAAGGAAGGCTGCTTCTAGCTCTGAGAACTAGCGATTGCCTTATGTCCTAACACAGAAGAGTTCCTATCCCTTCAAAAACTCATCTGGAGTTTATTACAGAGCTGGGCATTGTTATCTGCGGGATCTATATGGAATCCCATTAAGCCTTTGGCCACAAGATGGCTCGTTACCACCCAGTTTGAGTTTACCCCTTCCTTGGATATTGCCTTGGTTTTCATTTGGGAATGGTGTTACTCATTCTCCTGCTAGCCTTCTGTAGGCCATTCAGTGTCCTGTATATTTGCATTATGGTGCTCTAAGGTAAACTGTTACAGTTTCTTCACACTTTTTCTGCAGCCCTAAAAAAATTCCTTACCATCTGCACACTCAGTCTGCCCTGTTTTTTCTGACAATGGTTTATTAGACCTGAACACAGTTTTCCCAATGAATGAACACATTTTCAGTGCTATTCTTTATCTCATTCCTCATACCTTGCTAGCTTTTGCTTTCTTTCTTTTTTTTCTTTTTGACTACATGCTGCACATTGAGCTAGTTTCTTTATGAGGCTGTATACAGTGATGATTTTCTCTTCTTCTCCCTCCCAATTGATATAGTTAATTTAAAACTTACTAAATGGTATGAATATGAATAGTTCATGTTATTCTCTTCGAGTGTGCATCACTTTGAATGTCAGGACTGGTTTTAACCTGTCATGCCACCTATTTGCCTTGCTTCGCTAAAGCCTCTAAAATACCATCATATGGAACAACTTAGAAATGTCACCTGTGCATTCTGTCCCCTCCTTCTTGATCATTAAATACCACTGAGAACCAAGTGAATTCTAATATAAAACTTACCTTAAAAAAAAAAATTAAAAAAAAAACAAGGTGGTTGTAAGATCACAGTAATTAGCAAGAAGCCGATGAGATAATGTATCCAAAATATCTGGGTTCCCTTTTAATGCCAGAACACGAGGAAGTTGCTAATTTGTTGTTGTCAACATGTAAGACAAAATATAAGCACTGTATATATTAAATACTTTTAGATTAGCATAAAACATGGGAAGAGAAAATAAAATGGCCCAACACAGTCCCTTTGAACAATTAGTTTAACATGGCCAAATTATTAGTTGCCCTGGGAATAAATAATCAAGTATCCTGGCTTTCGTGCATGCAAACTCAGTTAAAATATTGCGAATATGTGGGGTTTAGTGCCAGTTTCTTTATAGGAATTCAAAGAAGAAGATGGTGAGTAACTGTATTGGGGCCTTTTCTTTAAATGAGAATGTGCCCACCATAATTAGTAGAACAGAAACGTATGCCCACATGATACTGGTGGACCATTTGGGCATTTTCAGGGTTACTGCACTATCCCATTTGGTGATTTTTTTTTTTTCCTATCGTCTGTTGGAGAAGGATGTTGAACTCAGAGCTTATAATGTGTATGATGAATTGGAATGAGGATGGAGTTAAAGCAAGGTCACATTTTTCCATGGAGAGTCTACTTAGCCTGCTTTAGTGTAGATATTCTAACTGGTTCCTACATAGTACTGCACTGTTAGCCAGTTTCAAGTGACAAACCTGCTGTGGCCTTGCTCTCTCCAGGTGCTGATCTTCTCCATTAAAAAGAGACTTCAGTCAAACATGCTTTACCTAAAAGCAGGTTAGCTCTGGGGAAAGTCTCCTGCTATAAATTGTGTGTAAAATGTACCGAGTTTGAATTAACGCGTGTCACGGAGTGGGGCCTAGGAGCAGCTGTGATCCTGCTAGCACCCCCTACCATGCCAAGTGAGTGATCCAGCACCCTCGATTCTCGCCCGCCACGTCTTGTTGGTATAATAATTTGATATGGGAGGCTGCCTTAAGATCCCCTTGGTCACAATGTACTGCTAATACCTGCCCCTCCTGTACCAGATGGGAGGACTTGGTGGAACCCCGGCCTTACGGGCTATGTGTGCCTCCTACCTCCCCTTTAGCACGCCCTAAGCCTCGCAGTTGTTCCGGACGTTCTTATGTCTCAGAGATGCACGCCCTCTCCGGGCCCTGTCTCACACACTCTGCCCTCTCTGGGCTTCTCGCGCACCCTGCCCTCTCCGGGCTCCCTGGTGTACTCGCCCTTCTACGGGCGTTACCCGCGCCTGTGGCTCTCACCAAGCCTGCCCCGCGCTCCCGGCGCCCGTGGCTCTCACCGAGCCTGCCCCGCGCTCCCGGCGCCCGTGGCTCAGGTGGCACGCAGCCATGCCTGGCCCCCTGACTCTTCTCTGGGTCCTGTGCCCTCACTGGGCCAAGTACCGCCCTCACGGGCTGGGGTCTCAACCCCACACACTGCACCACACCGGTGCCAAGTTGCTGTGCCTCCCAGGCACTGCTCTGTGCCCCAAATAGGGCACCCAGGAACCCCCAGACTACTGGGGAGCTCCCGTGAGGCCTCCTCACACCCCTACAGCCTCACCCGGTCCCCTGAAATTTACACAACAGAACCATAAGCCAACCGGCTGTAACAAAACAATAAGCCTACCAGCTATAACCTAAAGCCCAGGCCCACCTGGCTCTCTGGCCCAAAGCCTCCCAGTCAGGCTTCTCTCCACCTTTACCATAATGCAGCCCTCTGGGTGCTCAGGCTGTACTGCTTAGCTTAGCTCTCCTGCAGAGCTCCTACACCTCAGGCTGCCAGAAGGGAACTGCTAGCCAGGCTCCAGCCTGGCTGTTTATAAGGGCCCGGCCCTGCCCCCTTCTGGTCACCTGACCAACCTGGTTGCTCCACCAACCAGCACCTGAGCTGCCCTGGCAATTAGCAAAGGTCCTAATCCCTACTTAGGCACGGGGCACCCGAGTGCCCCCGTGACAATGTGTTACAAGTAACTGTTTATTTTGTCTGCAAGTTGTTCACTAGTTTAAAATAGCATTTGTTTCCTTTTTCAGGACAGCCAGTAGAGGGGACTTCGTATTTTCTGCTGATCGTCTGGTAGGTGGAGAATTTCTTGTCGCTGCTGCACTTTGACACTTGTGTTAAGTAGGTCTTTCAAGCTGGACCATTCATGGAGTGGCAGCAGCGTGTTTCCCTATAACATAAGTTGCTGTCTGACATTAATGATCTGACTAGGCACTACTGCTCTTTGTTACATGGTGCCTTTCATCCCAGATGATTTCAGATACCTTCAGCCACCTGTGGAATGCAGCTGCTGTTTTAACAGCACACATCAATAAGACAGGAGAGAGTAGCATTGGAAACTACTCAGAATCCTATGGAAACATATATGAGCAGGATGTAGTTAAGCTAGTTTTAGTGTGAATAACACCTATGTCCTCATGAAAAGACCATAGCATTTTTTTTATAGCTTGGACGGCCACATAGTGTCTCATCCAGAAGACTAAACAGCCCCTGACACAGTGTTCCTATAGCACAGCTGGGCATCACATTAGTGGCCAAAACTATATGGCAGCTGGCACAGAACAATTCTAGCAGAGACAAGGCACTGTGTAGTGATAACATGTATTAGCAGATCACAATAAGTGCATTTGGGAGGTTAAGGCCTTACCTCCATTGGTTAATGTGCTGAGACTACACACTGCCTTATCTGCCAAGGGAGGTCAACAAGGTTGAACGGTCATAAACTACTACAAGACCATTTCAGGCTGGACATAAGGAAGAATTTCTTTACTGTCTGAGCCCCCAAGGTCTGGAACAGCCTGCCATCAGAGGTGGTTCAACCACCTACATTGAACACCTTCAAGAGCAAATTGGATGCTTATCTTGCTGGGATCCTATGACGCCAGCTGACTTCCTGCCCTTTGGGCAGGGGGCTAGACTCGATGATCTTCCGAGGTCCCTTCCAGCCCTAAGTCTATGAAATCTATGAAATCTTTCCAAGGGCTTTGCTTCATGCTAGTTAATTTATGGAAAGACATTTTTTCCTAGGCCTTGTCTTAACCATGGGTGCATTTGCTTGTCAATACAAGTTCTCACAGTTCAAGGGTTTCCTTAGTGACTCCTATCTAAATCTCAGTCTGATCCCAACCTGCTTAGCCAGACAGCTCTACGGTTTGAGGAGCTGTGGCGGCCCTTCTACTAACGTCACAACTTGGCCTGTTCACCCACACACACCTTACAAGTATCGTTTTGTTTCTGATACCTTCACTGCCCACTAAAGATGTTACTGGGGTCAGAGGTCTGATTGTTCTTATCTAACAGCTGGATCAGTTATTTTTTGGAGTGCCCTGATTGTAGATAGTGCTTTATAGAACATGAAGGTAAGGTCCTCGCCTGAGCATCTTAGTCTGAGATCAGAGTTGTCAGCAAAAACCATTTGTTTGAAGGAGTGTTCTTGCCAGTTACTAAAACAGATAAGGACAATCATGAAAAATGCAGTCAGCCTATGAAAGAAGAAATTGTAGGTCAGCTGCATTGCAGAGTGTTCCTGTTTGCCTGGGTTACCAGATTCTCAGTCAGAAAATGCACAGACTCAAGATATGCAAACAATAAATAAAAGCCCAGTTTCCTAATACTAGCAAATTCAAATGCCATCCAGCTGAGAGCGCGCCAGCACAAGCCAGTGTGAACATTAACAGCAATTAGTCCCCAAGTCTTCACTTCAGATCTATTTGTGACCAGGGCTCCTTCCACACTGAGCACCTTCTGTTAAGGCTGCTTTTCTTACACTGTAGGGGTTCCCATCATGCCTTATTCTTAAAGAGATATACCTCCGCAGTAAGGTAATTGAAAGGAGAGAAACAATGGTTGTGGCAGTGCAAGGACAGCTCTTAATTAACCTCAAATTAATGGCACTGCAGTTCCCTCAAGTTAATATTCTCACTCCTGTAGCCTCCCCCATCTTCATGGAAATGCTGCGTGTGTGAGGGAAGCACTGACTGCTCCCTAACTGCTCGAGGCTGTAGCACCCAGGCAGCGAGCCAAACTCAGGCACACAGCATGGGAGCTTAGTGCTGCCTGACCATCACTTTTACAGACACAGAGCTTCTGTTGACAGGAATGCCTCTGCCCCCTGGTCATACAACAGCCCTGGTGTTTGTTGGGAAGGCAGTTGGTCTGTCCTTCTCAGAAGATGCTATGCAGAAACCATGCCTAGATTTGCGGGATGTTTTGCACTGCCCAAACATCCTCTGCTTTTGCTTTTAATGACAACATACAACAGATGGATGAAATAAAGTAGATGGGTGGGATTGGTGGGTGATGAAGCATGCATTGTTGCACAGGCGAGATGGGAACACAGTTCAACTTTTTACCTGCCCAGCATCAGCTGCTGGCAGAGGCCTCTGGTGTCAAAGCAAGACTGTGTCTTAAGGAGGGATTTAAATTCTGATACATTAGTAGTGATGCAATTTTTTCCTTCCAAGTCATTTGTTTCCCATGAGAAACAAACTTCCACTGCAAAGGTGCTGGTGGGAGAAGGGACCTGGGGTAGAAGAGGCAGATTTCCAGAAATGTTTATAACACAAATGATAGATGACACATGATTATCTAGCACTCAGAGCTGGTAAATATTCACTTCAAACTTATAAAGTTTAACTAAGGCTCTGGCTGAATGAGTGGGGCTCATCCAGTAAACAGGAAATTGGCATTTCATTGCATCTACCAAACCTGCCCTATATGAGCCATGTGTGCTAACTTCTTTCTCCTTTTCTGTCCACTGTCTCAAGTGCCTACATTTAAGCAGGGGCTTCTTGATTTAGGTGAGCTAAGAGATGCCCCATCCCACTCAGAGCCTATCCCAGTTGTATGTGAAGGACAGAAAGAAAGGCGAAGGACAGGAAAGAGCCTTCCATTAGGTTTTGTCTTGGTCTCAAATGAGAGAGGGTCTCAGTTTTTAAGTCCTGAAACCTTGAATTTACCTAATAATGAGAAATAATCTTGCTTATTCCCAGGATACACTACCTCATTTCTGCCATTATACAGTGACTTTTGCTTAATAAGCTTCATCCTTGCTTGGCAGCATTTTTCTATAAGCATTCTGGCCTTTGAATCTCTGGCTCACTAGTAGAGAGAATTTTCTAAATTTTTAATACCCAGAGCTTCTTTCATGGGAAATCATCCCAGGGTCAGATTAATACATTCGGATAACTTTGCCTGGGGTATAGATGCAGGGCTGTCACTGTGGGAGAGCTGGAGGTTTTCAGGTCAGCTGATGCTGAGGAGATGTGTAACTTACTGTCTCCCATAGGGATGTCCCTGCTGAAACTGGGCCATCTCCACAGCTTGAAAGTGCAAGTGCTTTGCAGAGCATCCCATAATAATGACAGCTGACAGGTGTCAAAGAAAAGTGGTGAGGGTGACATTTCTCTACTGAGTGACTTGCTGGTGGGCTCTTGCTGTGTGTTTATATTACTGAAGTTCCTGCTGCTGTTCTGGACAGCCCACCCCACGGCTGCTGAATACAAGAGCAGATATGAAAAGAACTGGGTGAGAAAAAAAACACCTCAGTGGTATGTTCAGCCTATTCTAGGAAAAGTATTAGCATTTGGAAGTTTACGGTGATGGGTAAGAAATCATTATAAACTGATAGATTTCTCTGGTCCTATAGATCAGACTTGTGGTTGAAGAAGGACTGAATCAGCTGCCATACACAGAATGCACGGTGACCACTCCGACAGGTAACTTATGGGAGCATGTTCCCCATTTGGTTGGGTTGGCACTGGAAACTGCTTATTAAATGTAAAACGGAATCTGAAATCCTTGCGAGAGGCTGAAGCAGTTTAATATTCAGATCAACCCACAGAATTATGGTTTCCCTGTCTTCTTAAGGGTTTAAATTGGGATTGTAAAATCATTATGAAAATTTACCAATACAAGTGGATCATAAAGTCACTTACCATTATGAGGAAGCAAATCAAGCCAGTGACATTTCACATGTCTATTAAAGGAAAAATACTTAGCAGAGACAATTGTGCAAGACCTGCTTAATTCTGTCTGTGTCACCAACAGCTAGAGCCCAGCTGGGTGTGATGACAGAGGAGTAAGAAGTTAAAGGACTTTGTATGTGTTAGCATGAGAGAGAACATGTGGAATAATTGCGGCCTGCTCCCACCAAATGCAAAGATCAGGTTCCAAGAAAGGAAGAGGCTCAGGTTGAAGATCAGTGTAACATGAACTAGTTTGGGGAAGCTGCTCTTACCTGTTTAAAAGAAGTGCTTTCTCTCACTGCTACGACACTCGAGTCCAGCCTGATCCAAGTCAGTTGACAGTTGGAATAGTTTGGCTGTTGGGTGTTTCCATGAAATGAAGTCGTTGTGCTCCATGCTGCATGCAGTATTAACATAAAGGTTCCTTACTGTGCTGGCATCATAGTTACAGGGTGAAACGTGCCTTCGACTTGTCAGTCCCTCTCAAGTGTACCACTGGTGATGTTCCTGGCTCCTTGCACCTTCCTGTGGCTGGGCCACAAAGTAGCACCCATTTTTAGACTAAATCGCTGGGCTGCAGTCTCTGGTGTCCCAGTCATGTTGACACAACAATCCCAGTGTGGTTTCACACATGTATATCCTTTTCCTTTCAGGACCTGTGACCAGTGAGATGGTTAAAGCCACTCAGAAACAGCTTTTCCAAAACATAGTTCAGTCTTTCACCCAAAGATACATAACATAGAGCAGGTCTCAGTCCAGCCCAGTTCTACTGACCTTTCCCCTTACCCTTGAATCTATTTTGATCCTAGGCTTAGCCGTGGGAAGAGTAAATGGTGCCTACCTTGGATGGGACCTGGGGATGTTTACCAATAAAAAGCTTCTTTCTTTTTTTTTTCAGTCTAGTAGGCTAATAGCACATGGGTAACCTTAGGGGCATGTGATAGTTCTAAAAATACTGCACAAAACTTCCCTGGTTTTTCAAAGACAGGTAGACAGAAACTTCCTGCCAGACTCTGAATTAGTGCTAAAGCACAATGGGTGTAGGAGGGTAGGGAATGGAGGTGAGCAAGCCTTACCATTGGTGCTGTTTTATGAACAAGTAAGATTTCAGCGTCTAGGACTGCCACTCAGGCCTTGTTCACATGCAGAGTATCTTTCTTTTAATTTTTTCTTTAGATGATCACAAAACATAACTCCAGCTTGCCATATTTTTGGTATAACTCCTCTGTCCACAGCACTGGAGTCTAGCTACCTGGCTTCTAATCAAGATACTATTTAGCCATATTTTGTATGGCCTCTTTCACTTGAAGTAAACAAAGATACAGGCAACCTCCGCTTAGCACTCTTAATTGGTTTCTGAAAAACTGAGTGTTAAGCAAAACAAGCATTAAGTGAAACCGAAAGTGTTTGATGATCCAAGATGGTGACCTCAAGTGTTTTTAATGAGCCAAGATGGCGACAGCAAGCATTATAACAAAACTCGCTGAGCGCTAAGTGAAATCAGGTATCAATTTAAAATGAGCCTTATACCAAAATAGCACTGTGCGAAACAGCATTAAGCGGGGGTTGCCTGTATATGAGTTATGAAACTAATGTCCCACAGAAGGGAAGGCTCTCTCCTAAACCCCGTTTTTACGTTCTGTTTGTTTTTTTTTAAACAAACCCTTTGCCAATGCAAGTGTGTGCTGCTTCTCCCTTTCCTTTTCTGAGACCTGTAGGATCTGTCAGACTGCACCATGCCACTCTTTCACACAGTACAGTATACATTTGTGACTCCCTTTGCACAGTGCAATTGGAGGGATGTCAGCTTCAGTCCTACAGATATCTTAGTAAGTTCTATCATGAAAGGGCATGGAAGTGGGATGAAAGGGAACAATAATGTGCGCTCACCATCAGTTCTGTTTCTTTCCCCACAGGGTACAAGTACGAAGGTGTAAAGTTTGAAAAGGGAAACTGTGGAGTCAGCATAATGAGAAGTGGTAGGCTGCGATTTTTTGGTTTCTGAACATGCGAATGTGTACAGTTCTCCTTCAAGCCTCTTGCCACTCTCATTTTAAGAGCAGCAATCACCCGTCTGCTCTGAGAAGCACAGGTTCACCCAAGTCATCCAGTTGCCATACTCCGTACTGCTGAAGTGTGTCCCATTCCTGACAAAGCCACATCTACTAATGTCAACCAATGTGTTGTATTAATCCTTTAGGAGAGAAGTAGTTTCCCATATATTTCCGGTGGCAACTTTTTAGAGGGAAGAGAGGCTTCTAAGGGGCACTCAAGTGAGGCAAGGCCTGTCTTCCTTTTAGAGCACTCTGTTAGTTAATTTTTACTCCACAAAGACAATATTCCATGTAGCTGAATTGTGCTGGTTTGGGAGAATGGTAGATAAAATAACCTTCTGCAACTCCCTTAGATCCTTGATAGCAATAATTTTAAGACCGTCTTTAAAGGTGTAGCATCCAGTAGATCCAGTATTTCTCATCCCCAGTAGTTCCAGTATTTCTCATTCTATCCATACGTCGAAATGATGGTGCAGGTGAGTTTCCTCAGAGCTGAAAGGAGCTCTTCAAACCCATTAGGAATTATTAAAAATGTTTGTATGAAGTTCTTTTTCACTTTTGTCTTTTTGGATTTAAGGTTTCCCTTCTGTCTGAAAAAAACAGCTTAGTGTTAGTGCCTGGGAATCAGTAAGTGACACTGAATGGAGCAGAAGGAAAACTTGGAAGTTAATAATCTGAAGTGGTTTTAATAATCTAAAATAGGGGGGATTATTATTATTCCTTGTTGGAGTCTCCGTTTAATGATAGTTTGCACTGATGCCTTCATTAGTTTGTGACAAATTCTTTCTTTCTGTCAATTGGAGGAGAGGCAATGGAGCAAGGTTTACGGGACTGCTGCAGGTCCATCCGCATAGGAAAAATCCTGATCCAGAGTGATGAGGAGACTCAGAGAGCCAAAGTGTACTATGCAAAGTTCCCACCAGACATCTACAGGAGAAAAGTTCTTCTCATGTATCCAATATTAAGTAAGTGTCTTAAAGGATGTTTAGGGTTAACTTTTGTTTGTAACTTGTGGGCATGCTGTGTAAAAATAGTTATTTCCTGAATTTTGGTGGCTATTATTAGGTTTTTGGCTTGCTTTGGGCAACACAGCAGAAAATTTATCAAGCTCTTCCAGAATATACATTAGTAAAACTGCATTAGCTGTTCAGGCATTGTCTTCAAAATGCACATGTTGAGGCAACGGATCTAATGAGGTAAAATAAATGTGGAGCAAATCACTGGAGTAACTGTGTGATGGTGACATAGGGAAGCATTAGAGTTTGTGGTTAATACATCTATAATGTGTCAATAAGTATAAAAACTTCCAATTTCTATTTGTGCATGCTATTATAGATATTGATTAGGGGTGCACTGATAAAGATTTGTTTGGCCAATTAATAAACCATATCGGCCGATATCGACCTAACTGCGAGCATGCAAGCATGGCTTCTTGGAGAGCAGCGTCTGGCTAGTAAGTCTGTGTGGGGCAACGGGCATGGGGGAGGGGCACAGCGAGGCTCCTGTGACAAGGGAAGAAGTGGGAGTAGGACTGGGGATGGGGCAGGGGCAGGAGCTGCACAGATGAGGCAGGGTGTGGGACAGAGCCGCAGGCGGCTCGTCTAGAGGGCATGGGGCAGCTCTCCGCCACTGTGTACATCCTCAGGGGAGGCATGGAAGCATATGCCTCCCAGCTCTGTGCATGGGGCGGGGGTGAGGGCGAGCTGCCTGCTTGGGGCTCGGGGCAGCATCGGGCTCTTCCTGGTGGGTGGGGGCTGTGCTTGGGGCATGGAGTGGCAGCGCTGGGAGAGGGGCTACAGCATGTCTGTAGCCCCCCCATAGGTCCCCACCCCCAGTGCTGCCACTGCTTGTCCCGCCTGCCCCAAGCGCAGCTCCAGTTCAGGCCCCACCCACTAGGAAGAGCCCAGCGCTACCCTTGACTCCTAATGGGCAGCCCAACCTTCACCTTGCGTTCCCTGGATCTGGGAGGGACATGCCCCCCAGGCCTCTCCTGGGGGTGCATGCAGCGTCCGGGAGCTGCCTCTCTCCCTGTGCCCCCAAGATGAGCTTCTTGCAGCTCTGTCCCACACCCCACCCCAGCTGTGCAGCACCTGCCCCTTCCCTAGCCCCACTCCCTCCCTCACTGCGGAGGCCTCAATCTGCCCCCCCGGAATGCCCCTT